CAAGCTTCTTGGTGCTGGAAAGAGTCATGTCACCACTAGGGTTATGGGTACCTTTGGGTATGTTCCACTATTTGTGACCAAGTTTGCCATGAAATTATGTTAGTACAAGGTTATGATGGTCTGAATTGACTCACTCCAGGTATGTGGCGCCAGAGTATGCAAACACTGGACTCTTGAACGAAAAGAGTGACATTTACAGCTTTGGAGTTGTTCTCCTAGAAGCAGTTACCGGAAGGGATCCTGTTGATTATGGCCGCCCACCAAATGAGGTATTGATAAATTGGTCAATATTCTTTGCTTTAGTGCTAACCTATATGTTAGACATTGCTTGTGTAGTTAGATATGTTTAGGTTTGAAGCATTAGGAGACATCTCACCAAATTGAGTGATACTCAAAAGTTCTGTTCTGTTTCTGTTGGCATTGGAATGCTTTGTGTTGGCAAAGAAATTGCTCTATACATCCAGTACATAGTTCATTTTGTGGCTGCGTGTGGATCCTTCATTCTTTCTCATAATTCATGAGAGAACGTTCATGACAGAATGTAATGTTGACTAGATTCAGTATTTGCTGTTTCCTTCATGTGAACCCTTTGATCAACCTGCTCTCATATTTTGCTTACTAAAGCATGTGCATGATGCTTGACATAAAAGGCATTTTTTTTTAGAAAAAAGACATAAAAGGCAAATAAGAGCTTACCGTTGAAATGGTTGTTGGCATGAATTTTCTAACAACACTTTGTGGTTGGTCCATTCATATTGCTTGTTCGAACTGATAGCTTTGCCACTGTTTTACATAATTGGCATTAATTTATTCAGATGAAGTGGTTGGCTATCCAAGAATTGGAAAAGCTACTGGCAGTGTTATTAGTTGTGTCAGCCTTCCAGATCATCGTAGCTAATACAAATCTCAAGGGCCAATTTATACCAACTATTTTTCTTTATACAACCAGCCTAAACTAGTAATGTTTCTATATATTGCTATCAGTAACCTTTCTTTAATGGATATATTACTGTGTCGTTTAGAGATCATAATAGTATATGCGTAAATAGCACAACCGCTAAAGTGTTGTCCACAATTTCAGTAAGAACTTAACATTGGCCATATCTGTTTGACCCCCATGATGCATTGTTTCATGAAAATAGGAAATGGTATCTTCCACTTCTCTAGCTGAACATATTTTTGCCATTTGCAGGTGAATCTAGTTGACTGGCTAAAAATGATGGTTGCCAGCAGGCGGTCCGAAGAAGTAGTGGATCCCACCATAGAGACACGACCTTCGACGAGAGCTCTAAAGCGTGCACTTTTGACAGCTCTGAGGTGTGTGGATCCAGACTCAGAGAAGAGACCGAAGATGGGTCAAGTTGCCCGGATGCTGGAATTGGATGATCCAATTCCTCGAGGGGTATGTCCTAGCAAAAATAAAAATAAAAAAATAAACAAAAATCCTTGTTTAGTTCATAGTTCATATACTGCTGGTTTCCGTTATACCTACTTCAACCTTCATACTGAAGATATAAATTCTCGCAAGCAGGACAGAAGATCTAAGCACCACCGTGGAGGGAGCACAGAAATGGATTCGCAAAGGGAAAACAACTCTGACACGGAGAAGAGCGACAATCCAGATTCGAAACCTAGCAGGAGCAGAGCATCCTCGTCCAAATGAGCACACCAGCATTTCACCTATTACAGTCTTCGGTACATTGCATGGTCTAGACTACTTCCATTTTACATTGCTGACGAATTGGTAACTGAAAGCCCTGAAGCTTGTACGAGCTGAAGAAAGATCTACTTTTCTTTTCTTTTTGTTGTAACGATTTATGATTTATTTGTAGAGAAGGTATTGGTTTTTTACTTATCAATGTGTACTTACCGGTGATCTTGACAATTGCTGCTGTAAGTTTTTAACATTGTGTACAGGCGTAGCATCATGAATACTGGCGGAATCCCCGTAATATTTGTAATCATAATGATAATGTTTCAATTGAAAGCCTCCCTCCCATTTGAGCCAATAATACATGGTCAATACTACTAGATGTCTTTAGTTCAATCATGTCTCAACGAGGGAAATTGAGCCACTTGTTACTAGTTTAACTTTTCTAGATTTTTTTTTTAGCACCACCTGGCCTTCATGGCCTTTCATTAACAGATGTAGCTCTAAGACCTAATTGTCAGGAGAAAAGTAATATTTCGTAGAATAAATTAGTCATCACTATAAACCTTTCCGTATTCATGCCCCTTGCATTTTGTGGAAACGAAATTTTGAAAGTCCTCAAACAAGGTTTAAAATTCTATTTTGAATAACCCTACAAAGCTTCAAAATTCCCTAAACTCAGCTTGGGCTGAATCTCGGCCCAAACCTCCCCTTCTCTCCCTCTCTTTTTCATTTCTCAACCCATGTCTTCTATCGGGTACGGAACTGTTTCTAGCCCAGCCTTGATGGCCGCCCTCCTTTTTGCATATGTTGAGTTGGCCCATTTCCTAGCGTCAGCCTGGCTATTCCCTCTTTCCCACACTGGCGCATGGGGCCCGCGTGCCTTGTCTTTTTTACTGAAGGGCTACGCTCGGGATCTCGCGTCCGGACGCAGCTCACCCTCCCGCATCCCATCCCACGCCCCGCGTCCGCATCTCGCCCCACGCCCCCGCGTCCGCATCTCGCCTGGCGCCAACGTCCACGTCTGTCGCAGGACCACGCCCCCGTGTCCACCCCAGCCTGCATGGGGAACCCACGTGGGTTGACCCACGGCTGCACCCCAGCAGCAGCAACAGGCGACTGTTCGCCAGCCACCGACGCCGTGCAACACCTCGATTTACTTTTGAAACATTCAGATATTACATTTGCAACATACGTCTGAAACAGATGAAACACTTAAAACATACGTGTATAGGCATAGCAACATGTGCAAACATCCAGATCTATTTTTGCAACATATAGATGAAACACTTGCAACATAAGTACAAAACACATGAAACACTTGAAATACACTCTTGACACACGAGGGTAGAGCCATAGCAACATATGCAACATCCAGATGAAACACTTGAAACATACGTATGAAAACAGTTGGAACACTTGAAATATAAGCTTGTAACATGTGTATATTGTCATTGCAACATCTCAGATCTACTTTTGCAACATCCAGATAAAACACTTGAAGCATAAGTCAGAAACGTTTGAAACACTTGAAACACAGCGTCGTCGGCGACCACGGCCTACCTGGTGGGGAACTGCGGTAGCCAGCAAGCTCGGGTCAGGGAGATGTCGAGAGTTGCCCAACATACACCCAGGTGCAGCCCTCTCCTTCCTGCCGCGTGCCGCGGTGCATGCCTTGGTCGCGACGACGCGGGGTGAATGGGGCGCGGCGCGGGGCGTGGAGGAGCACGGAGTGGGGGCCGGCTGTGGGCACCCATGCCGGAGAAGGCCGCAGCGGCCGAAGAAGGCAAGCTGTGGGCAAGCGACTCGGTGGATGCACCAGCGGCGGTCGCATGCGTAGGTGGGAAAGGAAATGTCGTTGTCTTTTCGAGAAACCATGAAACACTTAGGTAGAACGGAGTAGACCTGGTGACCCCGATGACTGCGCAGGAGCAAGAACGGGCCGTCCGTGCCTGGACGGATGCTCTGACGAGAGATTTTTTTCTATGAAACAGGAGGTTGGAGCACCTGCCGAAAATTTATTGAAACTGTCATCTCGTCCTCCCCTCTCTCTCCATCCGTCACTAAGTGTGCGTCCGCCAAAAAAAAACTATGCGGCGGTGTCGTAGTCCGTATGTATTGCGACACCACCCAACGGCTCGACACGTGGCATGCTGCCCCATCGGGTGCACGCTCGAGCCGTCCGTGCCTCCATTCTGCCACCAAGGCACCAAGCTAATTTAGAGTCTGCAGCAGCCACCGGCTCGTTCCAAAATCACATCAAACCGCTCAACCTCACCTCCATCCACCCGTTGTTGCTGCCAGGGAGGCCGGCGACAGCAAGAGCGCCTCCGATGAATCTGATTCCGACGAAATTGCATCTTTGCTGTCCCAGAAACCCTGATGGTGATCAGGAGCCAGCCAGACAGGGAGCAGGCTTCCCCTGACCCCGAGTTGCTGAGCATGCTGGAGGACATGGCACCACCATCCTGACGCCGCAGGTGACCAAGCTGATGCTGAACCATAGATATGCAGCTTCCCTAGGTGGAGAGGCCACTTCTTATTCGTCTCGATCAACATTTGGAGGGTTATTCGATCTTTGTGATGGTTATGTGTTTCAGACATGCGTCCATGTTAGGAACAAGCCTGCAGTGTGCTCTGCCCGTCCCGTGGGCCGTGGCTGTCTGAGAGAACATTTTGTGTTGTGTGTGGCATATCGATACGATAGCTATAATGATTGAAGTGGAATTCAGTTTTGGTTCTATCTGGATGCCGCTAATAGGACATCGAGTCCAGGAGCTGCTCCTGTCCTGCCTTCTTTTGCATGTTTTTCTGTTATACACACTCGCCATTCCCCATAAACTACAACTGCAAGTCCAATTTACAGGCTGCTTCCACTGTTACATATGGCTGCCATCATAGTTATAATACTCCGAGTTTGTAGTAACAGAACAGCAAAGAGGATCTGCACATAGGAAGCCAAGTGCTGCATTTTTTGCATTCCAAAAGAGATACACCTAGTTTGCAGTAACAGAGCAGCAAAGAGGATCTGCAGTGCACGTAGGAAGCCAAGTGCTGCATTTTTGCATTCCAAAAGAGACCATACAGTTGGTATCATCCATCCATGATCCATCGCACACCATTTTCTAGAACAGGTTGATGACAGGGCACACAAGCATGGGGACATCGCTTACAAACAATGTACAGCAAAAGCCACATACACAGTGGCATGAGCATGGCAAAGCTCTTCTCGGCGCCAAGACTTAACAGTCATGACACAGCAACGCAACGCTCCACAAGATGGTCTTCTTCCTGAGCCCAAAGTCGTCACGTCACACACAGGACCATGGCCATTGTTGGTGATGAGGAATCACAGTCCAGATCGCTCTGCTGCTGCAGCAGCGGGGGAGGCCGACGAGGCAGCGGGGCGGTTGCCGGGCCGGCTGTGCAGCAAGGGGTTCAGGGCCTTGACGACGATGCTCATGTTGGGACGGAATTCACCCTCATACTGCACGCACAGGGCGGCCACAGCAGCCATCTGGTGTACATACAAAAACAAAACATGGGTAACATGGTAAGAGTCATATCATCAAGATTTGTGTTTATCTTTTGTCCATCCAAGCCATGTAATAAAAACTTTTGGAATGGAGTTTTTCAATGATAGTACTCTTTTGCAGTGCTTTCGGAGCAGGATTAAGTGTTATGTTGTGAAATTCTACTTTCAGGTTTACATGGAAATAAGATAATTCCTTAACTTGGTAATAGGATATATTTACCTTGGCTACAGCCTTTGGAGGGTATTCATCTCCAAGCCTTGGATCCACGCATTGCCTCACCTTGTCTTCACTAAGCCTCGGTGTAGCCTTCATATATAACCAACAATTTAGTTGTTTTGTTGGCTTCATGCCTTTCATCCTTGTCAAAAACATAGAAAAAAAATTCCCAGGTAAATGGAAAGGCCCATACCCATGTCACAAGACTCTGCTGGCCACGGGGCAGTGTGTGGTCAACTGGCTTGCGACCTGTTAAAAGCTCCAGCAGCACAACTCCAAAGCTGTAAACATCACTCTTCGTGCTAAGCTGTCCAGTCATGGCATATCTGAAAATCCGAGAAAAAAGGGTAAGAGAGTGTTCCCAAATCCTTACTAAAAATGAAAGCACATTTGGGATGCATACTCTGGTGCATGGTAGCCAAAGGTGCCAAGAACACGAGTAGAGTGGAGGCGCGCAGCCATGTCAGGGGCCTGGTTTGAGATGTCAAAGTCCCCGATCTTCGCAACGTCATGGTCAAAGAGCAGTATGTTGCTGGACTTGATGTCGCGGTGGACCACTCGAGGGTCCGCCTTCTCGTGGAGGAACTCGAGCCCACGAGCCGCACTTACGGCAATCCTCGCTCGCTGCATCCATGATAGGACTGGCCCTGGCTGGGCTCCCTTGACACCCTTTTTACCTGTGGACATGGATCAGGCACGCATCAGCCCAAACTCAGCAGGCTTGATTGGATTAGGCATCAGCGACAGGTTCATAGTAGTTAGCATGGGAGCAACTGCAAATGGTATCTTATGGAACTTGATAAATGTTTTCACAAGCAATGACAATGATAAAATCACTGAGCTTATGGAAGGAGATGGAAGGCTTGCTCCCTACCATGGAGGATATCATGCAATGATCCCCTTGTTGCATACTCATAAGCAAGAACGCGGGTGCTCCCTTCGGTGCAGTAACCGACGAGTTGGACAACATTCTCATGCTTCAATCTTGAGACAGCTGAAACCTGCAGAGGAAATGGGAGTGAGAACTGGAGCATCTGGACGAGGAAACATTATATGAGAGAAGTAAAGGTGGCACCACCTGCACAAGGAATTCTTGATCAGGCTGTTTGCTGGAGTCAAGCTTCTTCACTGCAGATTTCGTCCCATCTTTCAGCACACCAAAATAGACTCTGGCATACGAGCCCTCGCCAATGAGGGCATCACTGCTGAAGTTCTTTGTAATTTCCTTCAACTCTTCCAGATGAATGGCCGGTACTGCAATTGGCTGAGCTCTGCCTGTGGGGATGACAGGGGTTGGGGCTGGGGGCCGGCTAGGTCCAAAGTTATCAACTGCATAGGGGAAAAAAGAAATGAAGATCACGATATGTGCTCAGGAAACCCCTTTTGTGGTACTAGTAAGCATGATAAATGTTTGTTTAACTTCACTCATACATCTTTATGTTTCCATGGAACCAAACCTGGAAAATAATTCCTTCAAAAAAAAACCCTGGAAAATAAGTAAAACAGTATCTTGTATGTTCAGGGGAACAGAATTTTTGTACCACAGGGTACACAACAAAACCCTTAGTACCACCACAGTCAAAATAGTTGGCAATCACATTGCAGAGTTCAGTACAACATTCAGCAATGAATTCACCCGGCTCTTTTGGATCCACTATTTGGCACACCAGGACAGGTTTTCAGTGAAGTAAATCATATTTAGTCGTGTCAAAACTATATCGAATAAGGATACAGAAATTCACACAAGAAGTAATAAGGATTCAGGAGAGATGAAACAGAGATTAACTCATGTCCATAAAGAATTGTTAGCAATGTTTTCAAATTGTCTAGTCGAACCTAGTCGCCATGGGACCGACCAGGCCGATTAGTCTAGCAGAGTGGATTGTTTATCTTTCCTTTGGAACCAGAGAATAGCAGAGGGACAACAGTATAGCACAACAAGCAACCTAGCAGTCTAGCAGAGAGCCAGAGAGGCTGCAGAGTGAGGGATGGGGGAGGAGGGAAGAAGATAGAGAGGGGAAAGGCACATACCGTCGTCGGAGCAGCTCATCACGAAGACCGCGGCCACTTGACCTGGCAGAGGGCGCCGTTGGCTTCACAGCTCACCAGAGAGGAGAATAGTGTGCGAGGGAGTGGAATAGCACACGAGGGAGGGGAATAGCTCACGAGAGAGAGGGAATCGCGCGCGGGAAGGGGAGGAATTGCGCGCGGGAGGCAGGAAACGCGCGCGTGGGAGAGTGGAGGCGCGCGGGAAAAATTGCGGCCGCCCTACGTTTGCCACCGTGCCTGCGTGCCTCCGGTGTTTTGGGGTGCCTATTCTAACCCTAATAGGCCAAATTGGAAGCCCAATAGGCCACATATAGGCCCGGTTGAACAGGCCCAAAAAAACAGAGCAACCACACTGGTCGTCCATGGCCTAGTGATTAGTCGTCGACTAATCGGACGACCTGCTTTCTGGTCGAGCTAATCGAGTCGGACCTCCTAATCGAACAACAGGGACCGATTAGGACGAGTAATCGTGATTAATCGGACGACTTGAAAACATTGATTGTTAGCATGCTGGTTCTATAGAAAAGCTTTTCTTAGCAAAATAACGCAATTTACTGAGGACGACGACTGTAAATATGAAAGGAAAATAAAGTTTTTCGAATAATGCAATGATAAACATGTTTATGTCAATGTAGTAAGAAATTTAGGTGGACGACCGAGTACAGTTGACTGGCATGTTTATTATTTTCCCCCATTCTTTAAGAAAGGCATAAAGCTGGTTAAGCTAATGTCAGACATGTAGTTGCTTTTCCCCCCTTTGCATTGTTCGACCAGGTAGTGCCATCCACATTTTGTGAAATCAGTGCCTTGATTGTATCACACAATTAACTTTTTTATTGAAATTGACAAATTAATCGTCGCAACCATGATGCAAGAAGTGATGAAAAGAAGAGAAAGAGAGAAGTGGCAACCTTGAGCAGGGATAGGAACATAGGCATCGTCATGCTTCTTCCTCCTGCCAATGTCGTCGTCATCGGCCACACAGCAGCATGAAAAGCATCCCATGGCCGGCTCCCTAACCTTGCATAACACATAGAAATTTACATGACTCCTGTATCGAACCAAGAACGCCGCCAAACATTTGCATTTCACACATTTATTGAAACTGAAAACTGTCTGCATGTCCACGCACTAAAAAAAATATCGATAGATTTCAGAATGTCTCGCAGTAATATTTGGAAGATACGGCATTTGCGTACGGGCGCTGAAGAAAACGAGAAGATAGAGATGGACTGACGGAATTTGCCATGCGAATATGTGATGAATTTAATCGGAGTTTTTCTTTAGAGTAAATTGCATGACCGGTCCTTAAAGTATTGGGCGGATTTCATCTGGGTCCCTAGACTACGAAATCGCACGTTTGGCTTCCTAATGTATTTAAGTGATCTCATTTAGGTCCAAAATAAACACGAGGAGAGTTAGAAGCTGACGTGGCCGTCCATGTGGACATGATTTAACCCAGTCACCACCACCTCGATGACTGGAAATTGACCTTGCCGAGGTGGCGGTTGACCGGTGACATGGCGTATTCTGATTGGAGGGAAGGGGTTTGTTGACTGTCGGTCAACAAGCAATCTGAACCGTCGGTTTTGGATCGGGCGGGGTAGGAGGAGTCGTCCTCCCCTGTAGCTGCGCTGGGGTGCTCTTTGGCGGCATCCTCGCCGGAGTCGAGGCAGGATGGCACTCCGGCGGATGATGATCTCCGACGAGCGGCGGAGCAGGAAGAGGAGGCCACGGCGAAGTCGTCTGTGGCGATCTCGACGGCGGGGAGGCAGCGGGGAAGGGAATCAAGGCGGTGGGGCGGACGGTGGTGGTCTGGGAGCTCCGGTGAGGTCGGGCAGTGGAGTTGCCGGCTCGGATTGACATCGTGGAGTGGTGTAGAGGGCTCGTCGTGCATCTACAAACCCAACGGAGGAGGAATCGAGTCTGGAGGTGAGCTGTGGACGAAGATCGGGAGCTCGGCTGTGTGCTTGGTAATGGCGGGGGCGGCGGCGGATTCGAGCGCTAGAGCGAGAGAGATCACAGGGAGGGGTGAGGCGGCGTGACGCAGCAGCAGGCGGTGGCATGGCGGTGCGACGCAGCAGTAGCAGCAGGCGGCAGGCGCATGGCCGAGCTGCCACCGCTCTCCCGTGGTCGCCTGCCCCGATGCGACGGCAAGGCCTGCGGTTTGCACGCTCGCCCCTGCGTGCCAGTGGTGGCGGCGCGACCGGCAGTGCACTCGCTCGCCTACCCCCATCCCCCGTGCTCACCTGGTGAGCTCACAGGCCGGCGGCAGCTGGAGCTGGAAGACAGGGGCGTCCTGGTGGTAACTGGGCTGGAAGATCCTGGCCGCCCATGCCACGTCTTAGGGTTATGTACTTAAGTAGTCCATATGGACGGCCATGTCAGTTTCTAACCCTCCTCGTGTCTATTTTGGATATAGATGAGATCACTTAAATACATTAGAGTGCTAAATCTATAATTTCGTAGATTGAGAACTCAGATGAAATCCGTCCGATACTTTTAAGGACCGGCCATGCAATTTACTCTTTTCTTTTAACACCAATCACTAGGAAAACGTACGTTGAGACGAAAGGCAAGGAAATAAAGAGGAAAACGTACGTTGAGACCGAATATGCTCTATCACCGCTTCAAGAACCTGACTGAACGGTTACCGTCTACTTATCCGGCGAGATCGACGATCGAGAGCCGAAGCCGGCGGCGACCAATTTCTTAACAAGCACGAACAAGGAGGGTATACAAGAACAACCCAAAAGTCTTGAGAGAAAAGGATAAAATCCAACGGAGTTCACCAGTTGGCATGTGCGATTTAAAAATTTTACATGCCCAGCCAATTAAGAATAAGAAAAAAAAAAGCAACAAGAGAGGCGGCGATAACTACCTTTCTTCCTTCTTCTCCGACCTTTGATCTTGGGGGGGAGCGAGAATCGTAGTACTGGATGGGATCAAGAACAATGCGAGGGGAGCGCTGTGCTGATGGATGGGGTGCTGGAGAGAGGAGGGGACGAGGAGGAGGAGGAGGAGGAGGAAGAGGAAGGGACACGACGCGGAGGCCTTCCCTCGCCGCCCTTCCTTCCCCTTCTTCTCCTCTGTTGTGGGTTGCCTGGCCTGCTTTACTTGTTGCCGTTTCCGTTCGTTTTTATTATTCCCGTTCCCCGTCCAGTCCGTCCGTCCGTCCCTTCCTCGCCTCGGCTCCCACCACCGCTCGCCAATTGGAACGCACACAACACACACACACAGTTCTCTTTGCTATTCTTGTCACCTCACCTGCTATGCCCGTTGCCCGTACATACATGCAACGTTTACTACCGCTGATCTGGCACCTGGCTACCTGCTATCGTGGATGTACCAACACAACTCCAGCCTTCTATCTATAGAGTACGTAATAAAAACAAAGCTAAAGTTTGATAGAAAAATGGAAAGCATTTATCCCTTGTTTTTTCCTCATCCACTTTGAAACTTTAAATTATTGCTTGTAGTATAGTAAGTTATCCACAATTTTATGTGCCTTTTTACACCTTCGCCCTTGTTTGAATGCTAACAGATTCACCTCAATTCATATGTGTTGGGGTGGATTGGGAGTGTAATTTAGTTCAAGTTTCACTCCAATTCATCCCAACACATATGGATTGATGTGAATCCGACTACATCTAAATAAGACCTTCATGTGCTCATTCTGGTAATTATTTGTTGTACCGATGTTTATTCTACAAATCCAGGTTCTGTATATCCAAACCTCCCCGTTCTTTTGGTTGGTAGATAATAGACCACACGACAAGTCTATACTTATTTTTTTTATGTTGATCATATTGCCGGAAAAACTTTGAGTAAAATACTCTATTTTCTTTAGAACGCCTCTTGGGATTTCAAAGAAAGAAAGAAAGCAAAAGCTTAGACTAGATAAGACTGAATTAATTAGGACTAATCTTCCACCCAACGATAATAGTTTTTCTTTCTAGCTACATAGTCTCTTCTCAATCATTTCTTCAATTATTTTCCAATCCTTGTTGTTGAGTTTCCTATAGTGCGTTGGTATTCCCAATTATTGGAAGGGATATGTACCTATTTTGCAACCAAATAATTGAGAATATCGCGCCTCACACAACTTGGCTTGCACAAAACAGAAGATTTCACTTTTGTGAAAATTTATCTTTATACCTGATAATTGTTCAAGTATGCAGAGCAGTAACTTCATATTCATAACTTGTGCAATATCATGGTCTAGAAATAAAATAGTGTCATCTGCGTATTGCAAGATAGATAAACCATCCTCTATTACGTGTGGTACAACCCCACGAATTTGACCATCTTCCTTGGCCCTAACAATGATGACAAACAACATATCCACCACTATATCAAATAAAATAGGTGATAGTGGGTCACCTTGCCTTAAACCTTTCTTAGTTTGGAAGTATGGGCTAACCTGGTCATTAACCTTTATGCCTATAAAGCCTTCATGTATGAAGGTCTTAATCCAACTACACCAAGTATGAGAGAAACCTTTCGTTCTTAAAGGTTTGTTGGAGGAAGTCCCATTTAACTTTGCCGTAAGCCTTCTCAAACTATATTTTAAAAATACTACCATTCAATGTCTTTCTATGAATTTTGTGCATGGTTTCATAAAGAACTACAGGTCCTTCCATGATATTTCTACCAAGGAGGAAAGCCATTTGCGAGGGTCCTATAACTTTCTGGGCTACTAGGGCAATTTGGTTAGTGACTACTTTGGTAAAAATTTTGAACCTCACATTAAGCAAATAAATTGGTCTGTATTGCTATATTTGTTTGGCCTCATTGCCTTTAGGTAACAAAATAATTGTACCAAAATTTAAATTATGAATAGGAAGCGAGTCCCGATGGAACTCATGGAACAAAGCCATCAAATCTTCCTTGATCACATTCCAAAAGACCTGATAAAACTTTGCCGGAAAACCATTTGGGCCTGATGCTGAGCTATGGTTCATTTGGAAGATGGCATCCTACACTTCCATCTCTGTGAAATCTTGAATAAGGATCTTATTTTCTTGTTATGAAGCTTAAGGGATGTCCCTTGTTTTGGACTCATCCATCGACACAAAAGACGTACCCTATGGTCCAAAAAAGGTTTTTATAATATTAAGTGATATATTTTTTGAGTTCATCATCGCGAGTTATAATATCCTCGTCCAATCGTCCTGTTCTAACATGAAGATCCTCGTCTTCCTATGTTTTCCATTAGCCACTAAATGAAAGTTAGTGTTTGCATCACCTTCTAAAAGATTTTTAACTTTTGTCCTTTGTACCATTTGATTTCTTCCTCTCTCACAAGGTTGTCAAACTTTCATTTAAGTAGTGTTTTAAATTCAATTCTCAGAAGAAAGTAAGACTACTTCTGATTTTTTTCGAACTCGTCTAATTTATCTAACAAACTTTTCTTTTCCTTGTATACACCCCACCCACAATTTTGACACATCCCCTTAAGTATTGTCTTAAGCGTCTAATTTTTGCTTGCCACCGTTCTAGCCGTCCTGAACAATGTTCCCAAATTTGTTTGGCCATCTCATAAAAACCCTCGTAATAGCCAATCCCACTCAAATTCGAACAAATATGGTTACTGAGAAAAAGTTTTCTTGTATTTTTTTATGTAAGGATGGATAAATTATTGTTCCTTTCACCTAAGTTGGCTCGATGCATGTATCTCTTGTCATTGTTGCAGCACAACCGGGTCATGATTATTTCTAGACGAACCCTGTCTGAAAAGTCAGTGCACATTTGAAATCTAAGAAAAAATGCATGTGATGCAACTCCCATGCAGTTTCTGCTGCAAGTGCTACGCACGTACGACATTTGACAAATCAACAAATTGAAGTCCGGCGCCAGATGGACGCTTAGGTTTGGTGTTTAGTACTGCAGTCCGTTAGGTTTATTTTGGTTGCTTCGCTTTGCAGATGGCAGTAGTTGCAGACTTGCAGTACTGGATGGCAACAGAGGAGGCCTTCCTTGCAAGTTAAAATTGCAAGAAGTTGAGAGTGCGAGACAGATGACGAGCATTATACTGCTAGCCAACCTCGTCTTCATAGTTACAGTACTAGTTAGTACACCTAGGATTGCTACTCTGCATGAACAGTGCGACCTACCAAAAGCAAAGTTCAAACTTCATAACTTTGCATAAGCAAACAGAAAGAAAACCCTAAACAGAGTTCAACCCAAGTGGAACACATGGTTTTCATTAATTACTAACTACATAGGTCTGCTCTTAACTACATAGTGCATCTAAATAGGAGGGCTAATAGGTGAGTTAATTTTTAGCCAAGTCTTAAACTATTGTTAGCTAACTAGATAGCCAACCATAACTAAGTTAGGCTAATTTTTAGCCAAAACTAATAACTAGTCATGTATATTGAAACAAACCCTAAGTTTCTACATAGAACGATAAAAAATAATATTACCTTCTTTTATACATTCACAACTCTCGACCGTTCCTCCGTAACTACTTGAAAAGGACACCTCATTTACCTAGGTCATGCTATGTCATATATACACTGTCAAAACACACTTAATCATCAGGTGCAAAGTCAATATCAACATTTTTCTATTTTTGGATTATACACTCGGTTTCAAATTGTTGGTTGTTTAGTTTTATTCTAAATGAAAACTTCTATAATTTTAACTATTTTTCAAAAAAAACATAGCAATGTGTGTAATATCAAATTAGTTTTATTAAACTTATTTATTATATCTTTATAAACTTAATTAATGTTAGGAAATATTAGTTAAGGATAAAACTAAAACAAGTCTAATTTGAAACGGCAGAAGTATACCTTAGCTGTACTTATATGGGACTCATTGGATTTAAATTTTAGAACATATTTGGCAAAGCTCCCAGAATAGCTTAGAGGCTGAATTTAGCGAGAGCTCTGCAAATATATTTTTTTTTTGCTAGGAAGTGATTCTACGAAGTGATTTTCTGCAATGAGCTATGAGGCTAAGAGTTGAAAAAAGTATTTTTTTTCTTATTCACTCCCATATAGAACCATGTTATGGTCCTAAAGAATCACTTCTTTCAGAGAATTATTATTCACAAAAGGTCAAAAGCAGAGGGAACTTTATAAAACATGCTAAAAAGCTTATGAGAAAATATCCTTTACGTACAAGACCAATGCAATGTCACGTAGAAGTTACTCCCAAATAGTGAAAAAGTATTTTTCTATGAAAAGAAAGAAGTCCTTTGAGTTTTGAAACTAAATGAGAAAATTG